GTGTGTGTGTGTGTGTGTGTGTGTGTGTGTGTGTGTGTGTGTGTGTGTGTGTAGAGCATAAGGAAGTCCCTATGGTCCTGAAGAAGAGAGCTAAGGCCAGGTGCTAAGGGGCTCAGGGTAATAGTTACAGGACTGTACTTTCTGAGCTAGGACCTTATTGTTGCATCAGAGTCCAGCCCCAGGAGGCCTAGGGTCACAGAACTCAGCTTGCTGAATGGCTGCCTCTCATTGTCTTTGATAGCAGAAGCCACCATGCCAGGTGCAGGGGCCACAGCGTCCCAGGCAGAGAGCAGGCCCCTCTGCTATAGCCAAGGAGATGTTGTTCTCGGAGGATGTGTGTATGACTTAGGTTGGAGTCTGAAGATGGTTGTGGGTTACAAAGAGCTCAGCGACAAGCCTGGCCCAAGCTTCTGACCCCTTACCCTGGATCCTGAGGGCTTGAATCCTCCCTATTCCCAACAGGTGTCAAGAATTCTTCTGTTAATCTCCTGCCCTATGAGGGCAGCCCCTCACCTCCCTCACTTCCATAGTCTAGGACTCAGGCAACTGATTTCATTCTCCTGCGGCTACCCAAGCACCCCCAGGCCTGCTCTCTGCCAACCCTGACCCCTGAACTCCAGAGTTTTGCCACCCCACCCACAAATTGCTGGGTAACATACTGGTTCTGTTTTTATATTTTTAAAAACTCTCCTTATTGTTTTCTATAGTGGCCGTACTAATTTAAACTCCTATCAACCGTGTTCAAGAGTTCCCTTGTCTCCACATCACCAGCATCTGTTTGTTTGTTGTTGTATGGTTGGTTGGTTTTTGTCTTTTTAGCTGTGTAGGTTCTATCTGGGGTAAGAAGACATATCATTGTGGTTTTGATTTGCATTTCCCTGATGGTTAGTGATATTGAACTTTTTTTTTTTTTTTTTTACATCGTACCTGTTGGCCATTTGTATGTCTTCTTTTGAGAAATGTCTATTCATGTCCTTTGTTCACTTTCTAATGAGGTTATTTGGTTTTTTAATTCTTGAGTTGTTTGAGTTTCTTACATATTCTAGATATTAGTTCCTTGTCAGAAAAATTATCTCTTCACTCAGTTGATTGTTTTCCTTGCTGTGCAGAAGCTTTTTAGTTTACTATAGTCCTATTTGTCTATTTTTGGTTGTATTTTTGAAGTCTTAACCATAAAATCTTTGCCTAGACCAATGTCCTAGAATGTTTTCCCTAGGTGTTCTTCCAGTTCTTTTATAGTTTCAGGTCTTACATTTAAGTATATAATTCAACTTGAGTT